AAGCAGAAAAGACTGTTTCTTGCTAGCCATGGTAATTATTTATGACTAAAAATGATGTCATTAATTAAATTTTCATTTCCGGCCAAAATTTTTGGTCGGGCATTGCCCGTCCATGCCCGACCCTGCCGCCGCCTATGCTGTCAAGAGTCAATCTACTCTTGCTACTGTGAGTCTGTGACCAAGGAAACTCATCCTATAGTGAAAAGGAGACAAGAAAGAGGGAGGAGAAAACTTCAAATGGCGTTAGATTCTCGGGCGAGCGGGTATGATGTCCAGTTTGTCGAGAGGCACAGAGAACTCGCTGAGAAGTACATGTGCGTCATTTGCCGAATGGTACCCAGAGATGTACACCAGCTGACATGCTGTGGGAAACTCATCTGCCGTCACTGCATAGAGGACTACAAAAGAAAGTCATCTCACAACTGTCCGGTCTGTCGTAAGCATGGACTCAATTATTTCAATGACACTAGTCGTAATCAAGAAATCCTGAGTCTAAAGGTCTTTTGCTATTATAAAGAGCATAGTTGTCAATGGAATGGAGAGCTGAGGGATCTGATTAGAAATCATGCAGATGCATGTGTTTTTAAGCTAGTTTTGTGTGATCAGTGTGATACTAGGGTGCCTGTAAAAGGTCTTGGGGATCATCTTGCCAGCGCCTGTGTTAAACGCATGTTTTGGTGCCAATTTTGCAAAGAGTCCGGATCATTTGAATTCATACAAGATACTCACCTCAACAAATGTCCAGAGCGCCCGATCGAATGTCCCAATGGCTGCCGAATTACAGTGAAAAGGAAAGAGATTGAAGCTCATCGCAGCGTCTGTATGCATCAACTTGTTCATTGCTGTTACCACCCGATCGGTTGTAACATAATGGTGGAGCGCATGTATAAAGCTGGACATGAAGCAAACTGCTCAAAGAAAGGAATAAAGTCCCTTGCACACAGGAAAGACACCCTCCCCATTAACATCTGCATCGACAATTTTGAGTCACTCAAGGAAAACAAGGAAGAGTGGGAACAAGACTTCTTCACAAAAGATGGAGGCTACTTCATGACACTTAAGGTCTGTCTTGCAAAGTCGTCTGATGCCATTGGCTGCTTCTTTTACCTGAGAGCTGGTCCCCACGATAACAGTCTCATTTGGCCTTTTCGTGGAATATTGGTTCTAGAAATAATCAACCAGAAAAAAGACGAGAACCATTACTCCAGTGAGATACGATTTCTTACTAACACACCTGGCCCATATAATAGTCGTGTGATTGATAAGGATATAGCTTCTTATGGATTAGGGGAACCAGAATACGTAACTCACACATTTCTCTCTCAATGTACCCAGTACTGTAAATATTTGGAAGACAACAAGATGATTCTACGTGTTAGTATTAAGGGTATTGATAATTGCAGAAGTTCTATTGGCTTTTCTTAACACCCACATTGTACACATTGCTGTTAAATTTTTTTATTTTAGTTATGACTTTTGTAGTTTTACATTATATAGTTTTAAGACTTTTATTTTCTTAGTTTAGTATTATAGTGTTCATTGCTTTAGTTTAGCTATATTTTTGACAAAGTTTTGGTTTTAGTTACTATTATCACAAGATGGAGATATACCTGAGAAGGAAACAGCAAATTACACCAGCTTTGGAGAGAGAAGAGGAGAATAGGAAACATTGGGAAAAAAAACAAAACCAGCTGAACAAATTGATGACCTTGATCTTTTACTTGAAGAAAGCTTGTAATTTCTCCAGCAGTCTGGCTAAATCATTTGCCTTGTCTATAAGAAGAATTATATGTGACACACAACACTGCAGAGACACATGGATGTGAGGAAAGAGCAAAAAGAATGGCAAGAAAGGACCTAGAGAAGGAACTGAGAGGAGATGGAAAGGGAACTGCTGCTGCAGGAAGAAAGAGTGACTCTTCAAAACGTGCTCACTTGCAAAGAAAATTGGACAAAAAGATCAACGACTTGTCTGCTGATAGACAAAGAAAGAAACCATCATCATGACTTAAATATTAATCATTAAATGTAATTTTAATTGTCAAACAATAACACAGGTAAATCTATTGCATACCACTCTGTATTCAAAGTCCAAGGTGTTCATTAATAGCATCAATCAGATCTTGTTTCTTTCCAGCTGCCTTCTTGCCTACTGACTTAAGGTACTCCTTTAGAACTGGAATTGTCAATTTTCCCAACTGAAAATTACAGTAACTATCATAAAGCATACATGTACATTAGGCATAACATACAGTTCCATTTTTAGCAATGCTCTCAACATCAACTGGTTCATCTGTTTTTGCCTTTTTAGCACCACCAGCAGCAGCTGTACTGGCTGATGCCTAGAAATGAACACATACAGATGTACTTTAAATGGTTGAACTGTTCTTACTTTTCTCTTAGTGATTTTTGCCTCTGGATCAAAACCATCAGGAAACACAGCTTTCATAAATTCATCAATTGCCTTCCCTGCTCTCTTGTTAATCTGAGCAGCATCTGGTACAGTGAGGTCTGTTATTTCTTCTTCTTCTTCGTGCTCAAGGGCTAGCGCCTCCAAAACACGATAATGTTTTTGAATAACTGTAAGAAAGAGAAATAAATAATGAGATGAGGAAGAGAATCACAATTAAAGTGTTAGGAGTTAGGACCTGGATTTTCAAAAGATTCACTTTGAAAATTAAAAGAAAGCTTCTTGATAATCTCCTTTGCTTTATCAATCTGCTCATGGGAAGCTTTAAGAGACAGAGAAAGAAAAGGAAGTTAAATTGAATATGTTCCCACTACATGTACATGTACCTTTTGGCATTTCATCAGGTAAGTCTAAGCTACGTATGTCCTCTGAAAATGGTAAGAAAATGACATGAAATCCAGGAGGAGAGATCTGGATGCTGCTGTCATCAAGCTCTTCCTCCTTTAGGATTAAAAGGAATGTGTTAATAATAATTAGACTTCTTACATACTTGAGGTACTAGTGCTACAAAAATTGGAGGAGAGTTGTTACGAGGAATATACTTGCAAACGGCAACAACTTCTCTTGAAATGCATCTTCTGAGTAACACAGAGAAAAGTTTAGTGCTACCACTAACTGTCTATAAAACATTACACATGATGCAATTATAAAGTACAGCTCTCTTCTCACTGTTTCATCTGGATAAATAAAATTTGCTGGTTTGATGTAATGATGCATTTTCATCTTTGATTTTGGTCTGAATCCCATTAGTGTGAAACCTACATGTATAATATCCATCAAGCAATAATACTGTAACAGCAGGCACTCATACACTACTACACTAGTACATGCATGAATACAATTATACATGTATGCATGGAAGCAATCATTTACTCATTTCATGAATACATTAAATCATAATTGCATCAGCTTATCAAGTTCACCTTTAAAATGCTAATAACTCAAAAATTATTTGTTAGAATCAGCTCAAACTTTCTACACAGCATAAGTACATCAATATGTATCAAAAAATGTTATAAAAATTGGAGGTGATTTCGGAACCATTTTTTGGAAAAAACTATGGGCTATAGCCTTGGGTATTTTTAAAATTTTGACATTTTTTAAAAATGGCTGTAATTTGAAAAATTGAAGTCGGAATTAGCTCAAACTTTCTACACAGCATAAGTACATCAATATGTATCAGAAAATGTAATAAAAATTGGAGGTGATTTTGGAGCCATTTTATGGAAAAAACCATGGGCTATAGCCTTTGCTTTTTTTCAAAAATTTGCTCATTTTTAATGCTAATAAAGG